GAGAGAGAGAGAGAGAGAGAGAGAGAGAGAGAGAGAGAGAGATCTGACTGCACGACATGAGTTTACATGAGATATTTCTAGAAGAAACCTCACTACCATCAAGTTGCTTCTGACTTATAATGACCCTATGGATCAGTGTACACCTGCCCCCGAGGCAGTAACTCTTCAAGGGAGTAGAAAGTCTTGTCTTTCTCCTGAGGGGTGACTGGTGGTTTCTAACTGCTGACCCAATTACCACTGCGTCTTTCCTAGAATAAAGAAGTTTAAAATAGATGGCTTACACACTGTGTGGCTGCAACTATGCCCCCATCATGTACTTCTTCCCCATGTTTACTACAAAAGCTCATCCTTTTGAGCAACTTTGTATTCTCTGCAGCAGTGGTTCTCAACCTTCCTAATGCTGCGACCCTTTCATACAGTTCCCCATGTGGTGGTGACCCCCCCAACCACGAAATTATTTTCATTGCTACTTCATACCTGTCATTTTGCTACTGTTATGAATCAGATGACCCCTGTGAAAGGCTTTTTCGACCCCCAAAGGGGTCGTGACCCACAGGTTGAGAACTGCTGCTCTACAGGATTATTGCCCGCTTTTCAAATGGCTTGATTCCTCACTAAAGCTCTACTTTTATTTTAAAAGAGTACATATTCTTTTTTCTTTTTAACATCAGTGTGACCTTTTATAGGGAGGCCACTCATTTTTTCCCATATCTGTTTCAAAAGTATCAGCTCATTAACCTTCAGTAGCCAGATGATAGAAGAGCAAATCTTCCTGCAAGAAAGACAAAACTTCCTTGACCATGGAGATTTGGGAGCGGAATCAAGGAAAGTCTATTACATATTCGGGATAGATCTGGTTGGCATCAAACACCACAAGATCTTTGGATTCCAGGTATCATCCACGCAGCTGTCGTACACATTCACATAGCCCGTCTTTGGAAGGAGGTCGTATATATCTGGAGTCTCCGTTTATGTAATCTCCAATTAGCACTCGGGCGAGAAACATAGATTTGTATGCCCTGAAGCGATGCCACACCGTGAATTTGGAAGGTGTTCCCATGCTTTAGGTCCTCCTTGCAGAAGCGAATGGAGTAAGAAGTACGAGCCTGCAAAAGAACTCCCACAAGTCTAGGCTTTGAATTCTCTGAATTCAGTTGGGAGCCCTTGTTTTCCCAGAGAGACCAGCGACTTCATTATACTCGTGGGTGGGTTTGAGTCTGCAGAGGAACAAGCTGATAGGGAACTTCAGTGTTCACCGCCTCCCAGTGTGGCGGCAGGGGAATAGCTTCATTTTCACAGGTGTAACTGAAAGCACTGATGGAAAAGGGGGCTCTTTTCATTAAGCGCGGTTTCCCAGTGGTGAGATTCGTTGGCTTCATTTCTGGAACATTAGCCACTTCCTACATTCTGCCAAGTAAAACCAGCCCCACTAGGGGTCGGACGGATCCACCTCCTCCATCTCTCTCTTGGTTGTTTTGAGTCAGACTTCTTCAGCTTTGTGAAACATCTCAGACATGATGCAAATACCGAAGTCAAGCAAAGAAGGAGGCAGACTTGCAGAGGAAACGTTTCCGGGCCAAGGGTTTTGTCCATGAATTCGCTTCCCACATAACGGTGGCGAAATCAAGCGGAGAGAGCGGGATCAGGGTGTTGGATTATTTTTCTTGGGGGTCCCCGGGAGTGAAGTGTTGGAGAGGCAGCCTGGATATAGATCCAGAGTACATATTCTTACTCTTTTGCAAAACCCTCCAGTGTTAGAGCGTAGACGCTAAAGCACTTGGTCTGTGGATGGCTGCAGTCTACAGTGAGAGCCCTAACTCCTGTTTAAGAGTCTTCACGTAAGTTCAGACTCCCCATGTACATTCAAAGGCCTCATCAAAAGAGTAAAAAGAGTATACACAGAGTAGGAAAAATATTTGGCAATGGTATATCCAATAAAGGGTTAATGAAAAAATATAAAACTACAAACTCTTAAGAAGAAAAACACGAATCACCCAATCAAAAAATGGGCACAGACATGAATAGAAA